CGTACTAAAGGCCACCACCTCTTTAGTACCGGTTCGTGGCACGAACCGGTACTAAAGGTTCGCCACGAACCGGTACTAATGAGCGCCGCCCGCCTGGCCGTTGGAACCGGCACCATTAGTGTCGTTTCAATTACAAACCGGGACTAATGGATTTCACATTAGACCCTTTTTCTACTAGTGACATTAGAGTATTGTCTATATTTTGAGGCTATAAGTATACTCTCTTCGTTCTAAATGCCACCACAATTAGGATAAAATCATCACAAACAACTCCTTAGTTATAGCAGCATAATATTGATTAGATTTGGTAGTTTTTTGCATATCATTTACATTTTTATAAGAATACATTTTTTCACATTTTAAGAGATTATTTCACATGCATACTATGCTTTCTTAGGGTACTCGCAGTCTCTTTTGTGTTCTTATTAGGGGATCCTCTTGCTTCTTTTTTGTTTTGGTTTTTGAGATGAGGGGATCCTCTTGCTGATTCTCCGCGATCTGTGGCCCTGTTGTGGGAATACTGCAGGCCCACTAAAAGCCCGGGGGCAAGGTTTGGTAGGCTATTGTGCTGGCCCCTCCTGCGCCACCCTAGTCCCTACAACCGCCGACGTAGCTCCGGCGAGGCCTGCAGCGGCGGCGATCTCGAGCCTCTCCTACTCCTTCCATTCGTTTAGAAATCTAATGGAGAATTTCGGCCAGGCCTAAGAGGATTACGCATACACGAAGTTGGATCACATCATACTCTGAATGTATTTGTGTTGTATTGAAGAAGGTGGTGCACTGTATCAGTAGTTTTTTTTCTTAAAAATTGACTATGGTGTTTGTATCAGTTATGTCTAGGCAGAAAATGAGAGATTTCCAGATGAAAACAAACTATATAAATGCTATGGAATCTTGCACATGAAAGATTAATTAATCCGTGTCTCTGTGTCCCTAAAAATAAGCTTCAGCGTTTGTGTGCAGCTTAATCTTCCATTAGTTCCATGCGCTTAACACACATACGCTACCGGTTCCTAGCACATGTTTGATTATTGTAGGATGGTGAGCTACCTCTACTTTGACTTGGATGAACCATGGCAGAAGAAGACGGAGAAGGATTCACATGAGGAACAACTAGCTAAGCTACACGTCAAGGATCTGTTGTATCTGGAGTGCAGATAGGGCATGGAGTTTTTGGAAGCTGCAGCGTTTTGGAGAGGCTTCGTGCAAAACGTTAAGCCCCTGCAAGGCACTTTGATATGGAGAGTTCATTCTGTACCAAGGGTTCATATTTCCAAGTACATTAGCACAAGTGGTGCCCTCTACTTCATACTAGATACTGCTTGAGGAGAAATAGCTAAATTCTTGACACCTTCCAATCCTAACAAAAGCATGCATACTCCCAAATCCCAATCATCTCTAGCTAGTACAATAGAGTTTCACTTGGGAGCTTATTTATGTACCTTCGAAGCTTCAAATGGAAGCCCTTCATGTATGCGCCTTCAGTGCGCCCATTGCCAGTCGTTGTCGCAAGTGGAATAGATCGAGTGACTAGAGTCGTCCTTTCTCACCAACCAGCTGATAACGTTTATTTATCGGGAGTCTAGACATTACACAAAATTTATGTGCAACTACATTGCTGTCACTTTGGTTTGCTCACAAGTAGTAAGCGATCCTTTATGCACCGTGACTATTGCCAACTTGTCAACTGCTGTGAAATCTAATGTGGTACCTTCGCATTGCACATTCGCAAGCAGCAAAAAAGTTAGTTCAGTCATACCTTGGTTGATCTCTCTATGAGCGACCGATTTTTACCAGTACAATTGCAAACCCTTGCAGTATCCGATGCCACACAGATTACGCATTGAGTTACTTGAGTTGAGCATCAAGTGCCCTATACATTAGGCATTTCTGATGTGTGCCAAGTCTCAAGCATTTTCAGGATCAGCGTACCATTTTTTTTCTAGATTTGCAACTTAGTCTGAAAACTTCATATTAACAGGTTCACCCTTTTGCCACAATTCAGAGATGTTCTCTGTAAGCGCTTACTTTGGCCCCAATCCAAAGCAAATTCTCAAGTGAACTCCAAGAAATGTGATACAGGTCACACAGATTTGCCTTTGGCTGCACTCCTTTCTCATCTCATTATTTAGGAGTACTCCATTATTTAGACCCATGATTTTCTACTCCATCTCCGTGTCCAAGAGATGAAGCTCTTCAATGTCCTGTTTTCCTACGTTCTCCTCCTTGTCCTTGTCCTCTATACACCAGCAAGCCTATCAGATAGTCCACCTCTTCAAGATGTGTGCCCTATGGCACCTCAGAGTGAAAGGAAGCTGTTCATGAACGGTCTGCAAGAACCCGATCGAGCACCATACAGGCTTATGATTTCAAGACACTGCTTCTCAACCATGCTGGGAAACTAGACAACATGGTCCGGTCATTGGCGAACATCGTCACTGCTGCTGAGTTCCCTGGCCTCAATACCCTTGGCATGTCGATAGCATGGACCGACATCAACCCCTACTGGTTAGTGCTTCCCCACTCTCACGGTCTCACCCAAGGGCATCCGAGATGATGTTTGTCCACGATGGCAGTGTGCTGGCCGGTTTCTTGGACTCAACAGGTAAGCTGTTTCAGAAGAGACTGTGTGAGGGGGATGTGTTCATCTTTCCCCGTGGTTTGGTTCACTTCATCATGAACTATGGTCTCCGTCTTGCGACAACGTTCTCGATGCTCAACAGTCAGAACCCTGGTGTGGTTGGCATCACCCATGCGATGTTTTCATCAGATTTAGATGTAGTTGAGGGGCTGATGGGTAGAATGATGAAGTTCAGAGAGATGGAAATCCCTGGCAACAACACTGCTGATTTTCCATGGACTTACTAGTGGATCCAATTATTATGAAGTTGATCCATGGATATGATTTTCACGTTTCAATTTGGTTATGTATATGGACATGATTTCAGTCTAGTGATGTGTCTATACTCTATGCTGTATATACCATGTGATGTAGCTGATTAATTTCTGTAGGAATTATAAAGATCAGTATCGCGGCACACAGATTTTTTTGGAAATTTTTGACACCCAGATTGGGAGCAGAACCTTCTATCTGTTTACCTTACAGGTGGCTTGTTAAGCCTGGACCCTTGTTGTGATGATAATAGTAACAATAATCCTGGACGCTATGCATTATCTCTCTATGGTGTTGTTTCTTTGTCGTTAGTGTTGCACAAGAACAACAAAGTTTTTCAGCCTTATTTCAGCTGTGACATGAGATTTCCGTCAAGCGACAGCCCACCAATCTCTTTGATTCGGCATCACCAAGGTTGGCGTCCTTCGTACTGTATGTGTCGTAGCCTTGCTTTTCCTTTTGCTTTACTCACTGGAACTCCATGCTGTTTTTCTAGTGTTGTTGTCTTTTGCTCCTTGCAGTTGAGGAGGTCCCTTTCTTTCCCATGCCTTCTATCTCACTCTGAAAGCTCCCCTCCCCTACTTGCCAATGTAATGTACACTTGTTTGTGAGATGCTTTTGTAGCTGAGAAAATGCTCACTGCTACTAGATGCCAATACTTAAAAGTGGAAAAAGAATGATTTTGGTTTCACATATCGACTTGAGAGAGAGAAAAAATCAGCAATGTCCGTCCCCTTTCTCCGCTGACTCCTGTCACACTGTACCGGGGGAGCTCCCGCGGCAGTGATCTGGACCATCTCCCCGGTTCCAACTTCTTTGGGACTAGAATTGCAAAATGTTGTGAAATTTGATGTCATATACCTTGGTATGGAGCATTACATGGTCATAGCACTAGCAGAGATAATTCAGTCCGACTCGATACACGCTAGGCATGGTTGGTCTTTCCTTAAGCAGGAAAGTAATTCATGACTGGCTTCTCGTGTACAGTACGCTAGCTGTGTTGTGTGACTTGTGTCTCTGTCATACATCTTAAAGGCTAATTGAGATGAAACTTAAATGTCATATACAATACAATACACTTCCCTTATAAAAAAAATACAATACGCTTTCCTAGGCACAACAGTACCTGTGTATTGTTAGCACCTTCTAGGACTTTGACAACCTCAGACATTTGAGGCCTTCTCTTGCAATCAATTTGTAGATACCACATTGCAAGCTTTATCATCTGAATTACTTCTTTCTCATGTGGTTGCATGTCGTTAATGTTCTTGTCAATCAAATTTACCAACTGATCAGTCTTAACTTTTTCATCCAATAGGGTAATAAGATGGATGCTCTCTTCAGACCGGCAAGTGTCGAGTTTCTTTCTTCCACTGACAATTTCCATGATCACAATGCCAAAGCTGTAAACATCATCCTTCTCTGGAGGCCATAGTCTGGAGTGAAAATCAGTGATCAGTTTGGAGTCAGACTTATGCGGCAGCTATGCCGAATCAGTAGCAGCTCCAGGGCTGGATGTCTTTTTGAGTGGTCGATCTAGTCGTCCATTCATTCTCTCCATGCTTTCTACCTCTATGGTAATAAGTTGTAAGTCACGCCTTTTGAAGTGAAGATACTATGATGGAATGGTGCCATTCCCGTTGAATGAGCAGCCTGCGTCACAATTTTTGCTCGTATATGTACCCATGGAGTGCTCCACAACACAGAGTACTCACCACTGCCATCTGCATCGTGATTTCCACTTGTGTCTGTTATGTTGAATCAGAGTCTTGAGTTTTGTTTTAGGCTCCTGCTGGCTGCGATGGCCGGCAGCTTTCTATGGTTCGCGTGTTTAATTTACTTTGCAGTCCACGTTCAACAACAATTATGGACACATGGTGTTACTAGAGTATATAAAAAAGGTTGAACTAGGACAGGGCCAGCCTTACTTCTGGAGCTGCTACTTGTTTGGTTTCCTTTCAACTCCATGTGTACGCAAATCTTTGACTGATGATTTTGTTTTATCAATGTGTGCATTTCATACAGTGTTGTAACTTGCGGTTACAACATAATTTACTGGTAGATCATTCCACAAGCTTGGGAAGCGGTCTACTGAGTACTGACGACGCTGGGGAGGTCACAGGGAGGTACATTAATTCGACAGCATTTTATTGGCCGGCCTAGATATTTTATCTACCACCGACAGGCCTGTAATGCTATTGTGTTCGCCACCAAGGGAGGCACTTCATCAAGAACCTGATCGCCATCTCTAATGCTGAGATATCTGGGAGAGAACTCAGGCAAAAGCAAGTCCCCTGTCGTGTTAGCGCATAACAAGGCACTTCATGATGGAAGCCAAGGCCCTGGATTGATGTTGTGGCTGCTCGTCCTTAGAGTGAGGACCCCATCTTGTGCAATGCATGGAAGCCGCACCGTCATTGCTGCTGGCAAATCCATGGTATATGAACTCCCCGATGCCCTCAACACCATCATGGAAACAGACGATCAAGAGCACGCACAATCAGATCAGACCTGGCATGGGTGCTTTGCTGGATTTCTGAGTGGAGCTTCTTTCGCTGTCTCTTCGATTGTGTGGGTAATGATGGGAGGAGTAAGGTAACTATTGCTACTACTCCCTGGCCATGAACTGCCAACCGGAGAAATGATGAAGTCAGTTTTGCTAGTTCAATGAATGCCGATGCTCGGAATCAATTGTAGAGTCAATGTTGCTCCTTCAGTACTCTGGATCCGGAGATATTGAGATGCCTAGATTAGGTTCTTAACATATTGGCCAGAGAATTCCAAGATAACAAGGCTCTGGCCATCCTTCTCTGTTTCACGGGAATCGCATAACCATGGTGAATTAAGACCTTTTCCAAAATTGGTGAATTAAGACAATTTGATCAGTTAAATGTCCAGGTCTTGAGCAGACAGCTGTTGAGCCTCCACAGCAGATGGATAACTCAAATTTATTCCCCCCTTCAGTGCAAATTTGTTTCTAGTTGTCGTAGTTGAAATTAATAGCATGTTTCTACTAACCACCGAATCATGCAAAGGAAGCAGAGAAATGCACTGTATAAAAGCAATACAAGTGCTTAGTAGCAACAAGGGCAATTTGTACTAAACATCGAATGTTTAGTATAAACAAGTGTAATTTTCACTAACAATAATCCACTAGGTTCGGAAAGGCATGAACATCCTTTGTTGCTCCACGATTCGTACATAAGACTAGCCACAATGGAGTAACATACACATATCCCTAGACTATACTACTACCTTCATAGTATCATAGTGGGTAGTAATTTAAGTGTGGTAACATGCAAAGATTCATTTATTAGGTTATAGACTCATATTGCATTGGAACATGTGATGTTACAATAACTAGCTAAATTACTACAACTAGCTCTCTCCTCATTAATTCATTGCCACATAAGCAAATTTGCTGAGTTGGACCCGATGTTACTGCTGAAGTTACTCCCACTGTGGCTAGTCTAATACTCCAATTTTATCTGGAGTGGCCATCATGCAGATCTAATTGAATTTCCATTTTTTATTGAAGAGGGCAAAAATGGACTATGCACACATTTCTGCAATAATACTACAACTTATGTTTCAGCAGAATGACTCATTCTGTGCAGAGTGCTCAAATTCTTGGGTTGTTTAACAATTTTTCCTGCACAATGAGAGAGATTTGTTGTACAATAAGTGGTGCCCAGAGGGCAGAGGGGGTAGTATCAAATGAATCAAGTTCTTAAGTTTTGAAAGATGGACCGGTTCCCTCAAAAGATGGAACAATATGGCTTTCAAACCGTTATGAAAATTTTAAAATATAAATAAATATGATTTTTTTTTCTGTCGACAGCCAAATGCAAAATGCTAAACAAATGAAGGCTTTTTTTTGTTCCCTTTGACAGCTAGAGAGCTTTGCTATAATTCTTCCAATCAGTATATTTAGGATTTTGCGCTTGCAAAGCTCTGCGCAAGGGATGAAAGCATCATCACAATCACACTGACTGCAGCTACAGGAACAGTGGGCTGCATTGCATTGCAGCCGAACATCCACCACTATGTTCTCTGAACTTTGGAACAATATCACACTAGTCAGATGGTTACAGCTATGGCATGCTTGTGTTAGAAACAGCGAGTACGAGGCATCTGGTTTACGGCCGTGCAAAAGACTAATGCATGCAGCAGTGTACTTCAAACAAAAGGCAGGTTGATCGTTGCAGTACACATGGTTTCTTCAACGACAGGCAGACAGGCTTCTTCTTATGCTCAAAACTGGGTTTTTCTCTTCTTTTTGATCAATGCAGTCAATCATAGATCATTGAACATTTCCAGCACACGAATCTACAGAGAAGTACTCTGATGTGGCACATCTCTGTCCGTGCCTCTTGGTGTTATCAACCATTTTTCCTTCCTCCATTACACACTGAAGAAAGAAAATGTGTTCAGTTCAGGTTGAGGAGAAACCAATGCAAGCAGGCCGCACAACATAAATGGCAACACCTTCGGATCTGAACAATTTGGGAACAATACTAAACTGCTGCAGAAAGCTTTGCCACCAGGAGGTACTCGACATCCTTCTCAATCTACAGGAAAATATGAGCTTCACAATCAAACTGTAAAAGCACACACCTACAGGTTTAATTCCACTTGCCAACAAGGAAGCTGCTCTACTCGCAGCAGTTTCAGCTGTCCAGTTCCTGCGATTTCAAGTATCTTCAGCACCAAATAGCTGAGTCAATGATGAGTACTTTGGCTCATATGAACCATTGCAAGGTAAGTATTGGACAAGCGGCAGCAAAGCAAAACTCACTTTCAAGACAAGAAAGTAGACATGCTTTTCAAACCTCAGCTGACAAGCACACTCAAACAAACACGTTTCGGTGATACAACATGGCACTGAAACTAAGCACAAACAACTAACAGAAACAAGAGACCACGAAATCCGACTTGATACAATACTAGTAAGCTGAAATTCCCTGGATCAGGT